GAAATTAGGGAGATCTCATACTAGGAACCTAGCAGCTACACACCTGCCAGAGGGCTAATTTCCAAATTATATAAGGAGCACAAGAAACTAGACATCAACTCGTACTGGAAGCCATATCCTCTTGTTTCTAGTTTCACAAATCCTAGACTACTGCTGTCATCTCTAGTTGTACATGTGGCATGATTTTGTTTTCAGATGTGATCCACGTGGTTGGATGTCAAAGTGTCAAGAATTCCTAGATGTAAATAGCAAAACACTGGGTCGTGTAAATTGATGGGGACATTTTAATTTGTCTTAATATCATTTTAGCTGATGAATATTTGATGTTTAACCAAATACTATTTTATGATCAACATTTAATCAATCAGTTCTTGATATGCTGAAATTATCAGGTGAGCATACAGGACACTCTTACAGCAGTTCTGTTGCTTGGCTATTATTTATCTGGAAATGAATGGTAGTCAATACTGTTGCTTGGCTATTATTTATCTGGAAACCTTTCCTGAAAGATGACTATCCACTTGTATTTTAGTAATGCTCCCCATGCTTTCTTCTTTGTTTAACTGCAAACTTGAATGGTAGTCAGGTCCAACCTACTCTGTCAGAAAGAAGACCATTCCATTCTTCAACTGTGTGTGAGTTTTCATTTAACTTCTCTACTGAAGGGGGAGTACAATGGTAGATGCCTGCACATTCATCCTTTCTTTACATTGACTTCATGGTGAAGAAAGATAAGGGGAGTGAAACCATCAAACACAAGAAGGTAACATCCTTCCTGGATAAATGTTCTTTGCTTCCCACATTTTGTTTCTCTTTTCTACTTTCCTGAAAGCAAACCCTAATGTTGGTTTGTGGCAGTTAGCTAAAAACTGTGACTGTATTTGAAACCAAAAAAAAGGAACCTGTCATCGCAATGGAGAAACAGAAGCAATAATGACAATAATGCTTCATTTAGAAGCCCAATAGTCATTAGAAAATAATTAATATTCTATGAAAGTGATGATGTATTTCAAAGTCAACTACAGAGTTAATGTGATGACAATCAACAATTTCAGTAATATGACTCCAACAACATCAATATTAATACATATACAGAACAGATAGATGTAAATAGGAAAAAAAAACACTATGGAAAGAAACGAGCCATGGTGGAGGTTTCCTAACACCTGATTTCAAATCACAGCTGTGCTTGTGGTGGATTATTGCATCTCTCATCCCTCATCAGAAAAGCTTACTTTTGTATTAGGTGGTTATTTAAGAGACACAAAAATGGTCACCGTGTAGAAATGAACATTAGAGGAGTTATCTGCCCTAAATAGGACATCTCTATTGCACAAACTCCTCCCAAGGCTCAGGATTCAGAAGATGTAGTGAAGAGATTATAAGAGTCAGAAAAGAGGATGACAACAGCAAAACTTAGTTCACAGTACAACAGGACACTTGCACATATGAATTGATCATGGCTATGACCGCAGAATGGAAGGCCTAACTACTTCAAGACAGACACAATCCCTTCTTCAAGCTGAGAGGAAGCCAAGTATTTCTCCCTCAAGATGAGTACTTACTGGCAATTGGGTCTCATGTCAGAGGAAGTGACTCAGCCTCAGGCATTGGGTCATTAAAAGGCTACCCATGCTCTGTTAAATGGCCCTGTACTCATGTACATACAGACGTTGATACATGGACATTGAACACGCTTATGGATGACAAGTACTCATTTCCTTTCTCTGTTCTTAACTCTTTTATTTCATTTATTTCCTGTGAACTTATTGATCTTTTATATTGGTGAAAAGCAGTGTGTGGGACGATCTGTGTGAAACACTATGCATATGTAAATATTACATTGTTCATTGCTGTATTTTGCTCATGGGTTCACACATTTGGCCTAAGTATTATAATTGTGTGCAAATTCTCTTTCTGTATCAGACACATTGCACACATTCTACAGATGCACAGGTCAGGAGACTGGTCACTATTTTCCTATCATAACCTTCTCTGTGGAGCATCGATACAGCACTATCCACAGGAAATGCAAGAGTCATGAAGCTAGCACAGCTGTTTGACACAGCTCCAGCGAGCTGAGCCTGATGCTGCAGTTGCTGCCACTGTATCTCTTACATTGGAATTTTTTTTTCTGTGTGCTGCATTCTTGAGGATTTCTTGCATTATGATTCATTTTATGTCTTTTCCTAAGAAAATTGTGTTGAGCCTTTTTTAGTATCCTATAATTAATTTTATCTGGCCCTATTTGGAAATCTTCTTCGTGCCCTGTAGATCATTAAACAAAGATAAACATATAACTAAATGAGGTCATCACTCCAGGAATCTTCTTGGGGTATCTGCCCCTGAGCAAACTCAAATTGCACAACTGGTGCAGGATGAGCAGAGACAATTGACAAACTTTGACTGACCAGGAAAATAGGTTATACTGTAGGCAATATAGTCAAGGCCTTTACAATACTCTTAGAGCTCTCTAAAATGTAGTTTAAAGATAGGTAGTCATACACAGTAAATGCCAGGGTTAATAGAACCCAGTAAATAAAAATGAATGAATAAAATAGCCTTTTCCTACTTATAGTGTAGATGATGAAACAGATAATAAATGGAGTTAAGTATTTATCTTTCTAGTCATAAAAAGATCAATTCGGATATTTAATGTTTGTCTGAAATGCTTCGGAACTGCACACACTGCCAGTCTAAAAGCATATTGTTATATAATAAATGAATTTGTTTTAGAGGAGATATTTTTCAGATTCTTCAGATTGAAGTTATAGGGCTAATAGTAAAAATAAAATCTGTTCTGCTTGTATTTTCTAATAGGGACTGAACTTTTAACCCTGAACATGTAATGAAAAATCAAACTCATAATCTGTTCTTCTTAGATAATCATAAGTCTATTTTTGTTCTGTGAAACATGTATAAATAAAACAGCAGTCTGGCTTCTAGTCAGTCAGAGCTTCAGAAATGATCTGGTTGCCAGTCAGTCAGAGCTAAGAAGTTCTCTGGACCATTTGGGCCTGACTCCTTCCCTCCACTTATGGATTCCTTATCTCCTCTAAGTACTGCACTGTCAGCAATGCTCAGGAGAAGGTCCCCTACAGAGCATCCAATTGCTTTAGTATTAAAGCCCAGGACAAGAGGATCAACACAAATAAAAGGTCAATACAACTGAATGAGGATCAATACAACTGAATGAGGATCAATACAACTGAATGAGGATCAACCCAAATGAATGAGGGTGTCTATTTCACCAATCCCATGAGAGCTAGCCGAGGACCTTGAGCCTCTGCTGCTGGCTGTTTCTCACTGTCTCTACCACAACATGTGATGTTAACTATCAAGCATTATCAAGTGTGAATTACCCAGGTCTGAAAGTCAAGGTAGATGTTTACAGTACATCCTGAAGTTAACATGATGTCTGTCTCACTGAAAGAGAAGAGACATGGATTTTAAAGTCAGTGCTATGTACCTGAGACTGGCTTAAGTTCTGAATATTTTGGTGTGGTAATTTCACCTTATTTCCACAAACCGGTTTTCTTGTGAAACCATTATACTATGGGGAAAACTTCACATTAAGCAGAAAAATAATAAAAAGAAGGCAATACATGAAATTTGGAGGGAATACTGGAGTCCCAAAAGATACATTGTATACATATATCAAATCCTTGTTTAGGTTTGTCCCAAATGATATTTCTTGAGGCTGCTATGACTGGGTTTGACTCCAGATTTCTTCTCAGGATATATGTCATTTGTCACTGTGTAGGCAGGATAGTTAATACAGTGTGCTGTATTGTCATACGGTGTATATGACTTCACTGATATTTGTTCTTCTAAACATTTAAACACTCCTATGAGTTGAGAGTAGACAGAGTCAGGGATGCAGAGGCTGCTAAAATCTGGGGAATCCTTTTCAAAGTGCACAATGAAGGGATTCTAGCCAGTCCAAGCATCGCAAACAGGCAGACTTTGTCCTTCTTCTCCAATCCCTTTGCTTTGCTATAAGGCATTGGATAAGAGTTGTAAAGCTAGCCATCAAGGGTTATTCCCTTATTTGTCCACTCCATTTACCTAAGCATGACTACCATGGTCCAGCTATCAAAGCACTGAAAACCAGCAAACAAAAGCCTCCTTGTGGCTGCCCCCAATTAAGCTGTACAATATTAAACACCTCATCCTAACGGGTTTTTCCCCTTTTTCTTTTATAATCTGCCTTTTGCTAATGGGCCATGTTTGTCTCCTCTCTATCAAGGCAGGTTTTTTGTGCCATTATCCCTAGGATAAGTATCTCTTCCTCTTTTCCTTAGTCCTTGTCTCTTATTCTTTGTCATTTGTCTTTCCAGGTCAAATAAATCACCTTTATGCTGAGAATTTGGTTGGGGATTGTCTTGTACAAGTACCAGTTCCTTTACACAGTTTGGCAGTAGCAAGATATTATGCCTGATCCCTGCATAGCATGCTGTCTGTGCATTCAGAAGAATATGATACACAGGAGAAAAGGAAAGACTGAGGAATTAACCATGATTGGATGAGAAGCACAAGACAAGTAAATCTAATTGTCTGAACATGATGCAATGTCATATGCATCTACAATATTTGGCAGCTTGATTGTGTATATAATTTTTTTACTGAAAAAAATACCAGTGTAAACAATAAAATGTTTTAAATAACTAAAGAATGAACCAACAAAACAAGGTACATTCAGTAATAATTTATAGAAAAACATATCCATACCAAATTATGCTGCAATATATGTTACATCACATAAATAGTTAAATAAATGAATAAACATATAAATAATAAATAAATAAATACATGAAATAAATACAGGTATACATACATACATACATACATACATACATACATACATACATACATACATAGAACTGAATGGAAAAAGAACAAATGCCTTTACAGAAATATTTAGGCAAATTGTTTGAATTCCTGCCAAAATAAATGACAGTTTTGAGATGGCAGATTCTGAGCAGTGAGCTGTGGTGTCCTAGTCCAGGATAGTCCTCTCCACTTTGGCTCAGGACTCACTCTTTCTCCTCACTCAGTCTTGTCAGTAACTTGGCTGAGGAAGACAGGGCTCTCCAGACTTCTGCTCTGACCACCTCCCAGGCACAGGGGCTGTGTTTCTTCTCTCTCAGGTACACAGTGATCCTGTGGAAGTATTTCTTCACAGCCAGCAGGGAGTCTTCCTGGGTCAGGGGAGGTTCTTGCACCCCCACCTGCTGCATCAGGCAGCCTTGCAGATCATTCAGTTGCTGGTGGAGGCCAGAGCAGAATTTGTCTAGGAGGGTTTCCTCCCAAGCAGCAGATGCCTCCTTAGATGTGAAGATGTTCAGGATCTGCTGGGTCAGCTCACTCAGGACAGGGATGGATTGAGCCTTCTGGATCTCCTGGGCATCCACCTTCTCCAGGGGGAATCCAAAGTCCTTTCTGTCCTTCAGGCAGGAAAGAGGAGAGAGTTTCCTCATTTGTACCAAGAGAGTCAAGGCTCTCTTGTTCCTGAGGTTATGAGTCTGAGGCAGGTCACATCCTAGACAGTAGGTTGACCAGTGGCACATCACTGCCAGGACCATCAGGAAAACACAGAGCCTAGCCATGGTGAATGTTGCCAATGCTTCTGGTCTTCTGGGCTGTTTGGTCCTGATCCTTCCCCTCTAGGTTCTCTGAAGACCATCTTGTGTGGATGTGTCTTAAATAGGGCAAACAGTAGTGTTTACTTTCTGAATGCCCTCCCCTTACTTTCCAATTGTCCTTTCACTTTCTTTAACTCATTCTCTACTTGTGTCTGGGCATTTTCTAAACCATTGAGGTTTTCATCATTGCTTCCTCTTTCACTGCTCCCCACCAAAAGCTGTTTTTCAGATGTTATTTTTCTAGTTTGAATATTTATTAACTGTTTGAGAACTGATAAATTGACTTTGTTTGAAATCTATTTATTTATTGTAAATCAAAAATTCATATAAAATATTCTATAAATGTTAACTAAATTGATTTTACAATTAATATTTGTTTTATTTAGACTGCTTAAAAAGTATTTAAATCATAATATATGTCTGCAGGCCTGTCCAGTAGGTGGCTCTCTTCTGTAAATTTTTCTCATAAATGAAGATTTGGTTTCATTTTCCTTTCTCTTTTTCTTCCTTCTTTCTTTCTCTTTCTTCCTTTCTTTCTCTCTCCCTCTCTTTCTCTCTCTCTCTCTTTCTTTCTTTCTTTCTTCCTTTTTTCTTCCTTCCTTCCCCCCTCATTCTTTCTTCTTTCTTTCTTCTTTCATCATTACATCCTTCCTTTTCCTTCTTTTCTTTCTCTTTCTTTTTTCTTTCTTCTTTTGTTTTTTCTTTTACTTTATTGAAACAGTCAGCATTAGGTCATTAGAAGAGTGTTGTCTAATGGCTAAAAGTAAGAGGAAATTCTTATACATGAGAGTTTCATTCAAACACTGAACTCCTTCATTCTGGTTTCAATGGTGTTTATGTGGTTTCACACACACACACACACACACACACACACACACAATTCCAGTCAGGAATAAAATGTAATAGGCAGCAGTTGGACAGTGAGCAGAGCTGAGTAATGAGGAGAGAATGAGGAGCACACTCTGGGGCTTCCTCCATCAGGGAGGGGAAAACAAGGGCTTCCAGGATGGAAGGTGGAGTCTGGGACATTTATAGAATATTTTATATGAATTTTTTGATTTATAATACTGTGCAGTGTATGTGTCTATACTCTCTGATATTTGAAAGCTGTTCATTTGTACAATAGTTAAAGTGTACAGCCTAATGTTAAAAATATTTGAAAATAGCCGGGCAGTGGTGGTGCACGCCTTTAATCCCAGCACTTAGGAGGAACAGGCAGACGGATTTCTGAGTTTGAGGCCAGCCTGGTCTACAGAGTGAGTTCCAGAACAGCCAGGGCTACACAGAGAAACCCTGTCTCGAAAAAACCAAAATATGTATATATTTGAAAATGTTAAAGATATACCAAATAGACTAATCCAAAGTGTTTTATAAAACAAATTTATTTGAATACATAACAATTTAATTATAAATGATGATTTACTATATTAAAAATATAATGCTGATTTAACATAGATACATTAAATTATATTATTAACACAATAAATAAATAAATAAATAAATAAATAAATAAATAAATAAATAACAAATGAATGCAGATAGAAAATGGTCTTACTGAGATAATTGCTCAATATTGCTGAAACATCTAGGCAGGTTGATTGTATTCATACTGAAAGTAATGAGAGTTTTTAAAGGAGAGTTTATGTTGTGAGGTGCAGTGTCCTCGTCCAGGAGAATCCTCTCCACTTTGTCTCAGGACTCACTCCTTCTCCTCACTAGTATTTCCAGCAAGTTTGCTGAGGAAGACAGGGCTCTCCAGACTTCTGCTCTGACCACCTCCCAGGCACAGGGGCTGTGTTTCTTCTCTCTCAGGTACACAGTGATCCTGTTGAAGTATTTCCTCACAGCCAGCTGGGAGTCTTCCTGGGACATGGGAGGGTCCTGCACCCCCACCTGCTGCATCAGGCAGCCTTGCAGGACATTGAGCTGCTGGTGGAGGTCATTGCAGAAGGAGTCTAGGAGGGTTTCCTCCCAAGCAGCAGATGCCTCCTTAGATGTGAAGATGTTCAGGATCTGCTGAGTGAAATCTTCCAGGACAGGAATGGATTGAGCCTTCTGGATCTCCTGGGCATCCACCTTCTCCAGGGGGAATCCAAAGTCCTTTCTGTCCTTCAGGCAGGAGAGAGGAGAGCGTTTCCTCATTTGTACCAAGAGAGTCAAGGCTCTCTTGTTCCTGAGGTTATGAGTCTGAGGCAGGTCACATCCTAGACAGCAGATTGACCAGTAGCTCATCACTGCTAGGACCATCAGGAAAGCACAAAGCCTAGCCATGGTGAATGTTGCCAATGCTTCTGGTCTTCTGGGCTGTTTGGTCCTGATCCTTCCCCTCTAGGTTCTCTGAAGACCATCTTGTGTGGATGTGTCTTAAATAGGGCAAACACTAATTTTTGCTTTCTGAATGCCCTCCCCTGACTTTCCATTTGTCCTTTCACATTCTTTAACTCATTCTCTACTTGTGTCTGGGCATTTTTCTAAACCATTGAGGTTTTCATTATTGCTTCCTCTTTCACTGCTCCCCACCAAAAGCTGTTTTCCAGGGTTTTTTTTTCCTATTGTGAATTTTCATTAACTGTTCTAACACTGATAAACTTTCTTTGTTTGAAATTTATGTATTTGTTGTAAACCAAAATTTTCTGTAAGGTATTCTATAAACATTACAATGATTTTTTCATTGCAGTTTTGTTTTATTTAGATTGCTTAAAAGTATTTAAATCATAATATAAGGTATGTTTGCAAATTTCTCTCAATTAATATACACTGATGTAAAGGTATATTTTAGAATATTTAAAGTCCTAAAATTGGGTTCTTAATTTTGCCTTCATTAAATGTAATATAAATTCATATAAAATTTAATTTAATAATCACTGTATGTTAGCTATTTATCTGATTCTTTAGTGCCATAAGGAGGATGCAGCGTACAAAAAAGACTAACTGTCAAATTTAATGAGCTGAGTGTGATTCCTGGAACTCATGTCATCATTAGAAAACCAACACATGTACAGGAGCCCACATCACAACATTCACAGCATTCCAGGCTGGGCAAGTGCTCTCTCGCTCTCTGTCTCTCTCTGTCTCTCTGTCTCTCTGTCTCTCAGTCTGTGTCTCTCTGTCTCTCTCTGTCTCTCTCTCTCTGTATCTGTCTGTCTGTCTGTCTGTCTATCTTTGTCTCTCTCACAATCACACATTCACACACTCACTCATTTGTGATAAAGGCATCTGAGGTGTGCTGTGAACCAGTATCTGCATTTTTCTTTGACGTACTGAATTCTTCAAATCTAAGATTTCTTCTCTGTATAAAGACTTCTCCATGTTTTTTCTCTTTCATTGCATGAAATGTTCTCATTTTATTTGTTTTATTTGTTATATTTACTTGTAGCTAACTGTGTCTCTAACTATTGGTTTCAAATATTTTTCAAGCAATTCAGAACTTTGCTTATCTTCTCAGAAATCTATAAGGGTCTTGTGCATTCTTGACTGCAAAGCACCTGACAAAAGAAATCCAGGTTAATTTATAATCCCAACAGACCAGTATTCACATCACAGTGTCTGCTTGGAGACACTCATTTTTCTTCTTTTCTCTTTGTGATGTTTCACAGAGTTGATAATCCAGCATGACTAGTCATAATGTTCTGTGTCCCTCTCAATACAGTGAAGAATCAGAAACTCTGTCTTACTTATTTCATTTCCTCAAGCAAACAGCACAATCTCCCTTTTTTTTCAAGTGAAATACCAGTGTCATTATTTGTTACGTATGTTTGTCTGAGTGTCACTATAGCTCGTACTATTTCAAACACAAATATTGTAAATTTTTGGAGACTTATTTAGAACAGGCAACAGGGAGATAGCTGAGTCAGGAAATTTCTTGCACTAAATGCAAAAATAGCTTATTGGTTTCTCAAAATCTATGTAAAGACCTGTAGAGGAGTGCATGTCTGTAATCCTGACACTGAAGAGGAGACAGAGACATGTACCTGAAATATTGTACCAGTCAGTGTTTTCCAGAGTAGTTGAATTTATAGAATAAAAATATCTCTCTCTCTCTCTCTCTCTCTCTCTCTCTCTCTCTCTCTCCATCTACATATAAAATATACACACACATGTGTATGTGTATGTGTATGTGTGGTGTTAGAGTGGCTTACAAAATGTTGTCCAACCAATTCAGAAACTGTCTGCCTATGTGTATAAGTTCAAAGAATCCAGTAATTGTTCACTAGGGTGGATTCTTAGCTGGTATTCACTATGTGCCAGATTCCAATAAAATTAGGCTCTAAAGCCAGTGAAGGAATGGATTGCTAGCAAGGGAAAAGCACACAGGTAAACAGCAAATCATCTTTCCTTCATGTACTTACACAGGCTTCCAGCAGAAGGCCTGGCTCATAATAGAGGTGAGTCTTCATACATCAAAGATCCAAAATAAAGTCCTGTCTTCCCATTTAAGAGATTCTGATTAGAAGTGGATTTTCCCACTCCAAGTTAAGCAAAACTAGATCACAGGTATGTGTCTACCTTTTTGGCTTTGTTAATTCCACATTTAGTAAAGTTGACATCCAAGGACATCCATCACAAGCTCACAGGCCAGTCAGTCTGGCAGCGATGGTGATCTCTCGCTTAAGTAAGAGATCCTGTCACAGAAAATGAGGTAAAAACCTGACATCGATGGACATCTGGCACCACTTTATGCACACGCAAAAGTGAACACACAATATGTGTGTACAACAGGGATTTTATAATCTAAAACATGTAACAACTATATATTGCAGTTAATTAAAATTAGCTATTTATTATTCATAAACTGAGTACAAGGTCTATAGCAATACTGAAGAATAAAAGAATTGATACTTGTGTCACCAGCCTTGAACTCACAATATAGTACAGACCTATAATGATAAAAAGAACATTGGCTTAATATATGAACAGATTGTTGATCTATGAAATAGAATAGAAGGCCCAGCTACAATTCCTTACACTTACTGAAATCTCATTTTTTAAGAAAGAATACAAAAATACACACTGGAAATAAGAAACCATCTCCAACAAATGGTGCTCATCTAATTAGATGGTTGCCTCTAAGAGAATGAAGATAGATCCATATTCATTATCCTGTAAAAAACTGAACTGCCTATCATCAATGGCCTTGATATATGACTTGATACACTTAAGCCAATAAAAGAGAAAGTGGTGAATAGGCTTCAACTCATCAAGTGCAAAGAGTTTTAGATGTGCTGGTCTGTGCATGTGATGTGTATGTAGAAGACAGAGATGGGTGTCAAGTATGCTCTATCACTCTCTTCTTGATGCCTTCCTCACTGTGCCTCACACTGGCCTTGAAGCTCTCTGATTTAGCTAGGATCTTGACCAGATCATTGTGGTGGCTTCCTCCCTTTGTTAAGATGTTTCTTTGTCCTGCTTTACATCAGTGAGTACTGGTCACTTCAACTTAGGAATAGCAGACACAGAGAACTGGATATGACCATTTTCAAACTCTAAATTCTGAAGCTTGACAAACTTGGCAGTCTCCAGTACATTGTGTTAGTGTACACAGATATGTCCTCATGGACATCTGTGTGATGCTCCCTGACTCTAAGGTCATTTCTGTGTGAACTGGGTGTGCATTAAATAAAGTCTGCTTATGTGTGCAAGAATGATATCTCAGTAGTTCGTCTCCTACTGCATTCTCCTGTCTCAGCCTTCCATTTCTGTATCTTGATTCTCAAATTTTGTTTAGTAAAAACAAGTTATTAACTCTAAGGTATGAAACACAATATGACATTACATATTTTCTGAGCAGGTTGATATCTGGAGCTGTTCCATAACATATTTTATCATATAACCGTCAAAGTGATGAAGATTACACTGAAAATAACCACCAAAGAAACAGTACAGTGAGACGTAGCTGAAACATGTTTATCAGTCATATCAATAGCTACTTATCCAATAATTAAAAACCCCCCAGAAAATCTACTTCAATTACCAGATCTTCAGCTCACCTTGATGTTACTTGATCTGTAAATACACAGATCTCTAATATATGTCCCTATGATATATCATTTTTAACCTATTGCTCTACTCCCTGTGAGTAATCAGATACGGCAACACTCATATAAGCATGTTCATCTCCCAAAGAGACAGAGACATCCTGATCATGGAGTCAAGGGGCAGAACAAAACATCATAAAGGATTTGTAATTAGCAGCTAACTCTTAAGAGGAGCTGGTGAAATTCTAGCATTTCCTTGACAGTTCTGCATGCAGATACACATTGTATTCCTCTGTTAAAGTTTCCTTCAAAACTCCAAGAGGCTGAGGGGTCAAGAGCTGTTGATATGTTGAGCCATGCCCCTGTAGATCACACATCTTGCACCAAGAGAAATATGAAGTAAGTTATTCTGCATCAATTTAGATTGACGATTGCCTCAAACAGGGATTCACGTTGCACCACGTGGCTGTGCCATTGTGGAGTGGGTCACCTGAACTACATGAGGCCACATGTCAGAAGACAGCCATAGATCAGTGCATTTACCTAACTCACTGTTGCTGCCTCAGCAGGCAGAGCAGCAGTTGAAGAATCTCTACGATGGGTTCAGATGCTGTTTTACAGAATTCATAGCTCAGGGTGGGTTGTCTCAGCTTCACAATGCATTATCTACTGATCAAAACCATGTGAGTTTGGTTGTGAATCACTACTAAGGGGACTGCACACAGCCCCTTACTTTTCCACAGAAGGTCGGTTATAGAAGGCTAGAGGGAAAGGAAGCATAAGATCTTCCTATACATACTTATCTCTCCCTTGTTCAGATGACATGAGCTGTGTTCCTGAGAGAATTTCCCTTCCTAAGATGAGTTTGAAGGGAATGGACTCTTCCTGAAGTCAGTTCTTCTGTGGAAACGTCTGTTTTAGTGTGGAGGAAATTGCCAGGAAACAGAATTCAGGGGGACCCTGCCTGTTTATTCTTTGCAGGCCAGGCAAAGGTGGTTTTCTTCTTCTCTAAATCTTTCTCATAATTGAAGATTTGGTTTCCTTTTCCTTTCTCTATTTCCTTCTTTCTTTCTTCCTTCCTTCTTTCCTTCCTTCCTCTTTCTTCCTCCAACTTTCTTCTCTTTTTTCTGTCTTTCTACTTTCCTTTTTCACTTTTTCTTTGATGAAACAGTGATCATTAGGTCATTAGAAGAACATTGTCTAATGTCTAAAATTAAGAGGAAATTCTTATACATGAGAGTTTCATTCAATCATTCTACTCCTTCATTCTGGTTTCAACAGTGGTTATGTATATTC